AACAAAAGCAGATAACTCTCAGAAAACAGTACTTTGGGATAATTGTTGAGACTCTCCTTAACATTGTATCAATATTAGCCCTACATGTGCAGCACATATAAATTTGGTTGCCCATGATTACTTCAAAGTTGAGTTTGTGTTGTTTCCTCAACTTTATCTATTTTCGCCGGCTCTTCGACCGACAGCTCGCACAGAGCCCATAGGTATATACGATACAGAGGTGTGTGTCTTAGCAATGCAGAAAGTTCTGTGACATAACTCCGCCCACAAGAATACATGTAAAATGCATCTACCCAAAATTTGAACATACACTGCACGATGTTCGTAATGCTTTAAATATTATCACAATACTAAAGATAATCACATGACACAAAAAAACAAAACAAAAGATAATCACATGCTATCACAGTCTACAAAATAACAAGTAATTACATTTATTAATACCTGTCTTCTGGTGAAACACATCTTGTGCCGACAGGCGATAATATGATACCACCAAATCTCTGCGACAATCTGAGGGGGCGGACATACCCCATTCTACATAATTTACGCCCTGTGCATTTCTTTGGGTCACATTGTCCTAAATCCCACATAGCAAGAGGACATGGAAATTTGACATCATCACCGCCGCAAGCACCTGCTTCATCTTCAACAGAACCTGAGACAGAAAAGAATACATTCCCAGATAATTAGCAATCTAATTCCTTAGTTTGTGTTATAGATTGGCTTCTCGACTGACCTCATGAATATTTATGTTGTGTTCAGATTAATCGTGAATGCAATTCCATATAATACAATGTTCGGCATGTCAAGCAAAGGCACTCAGACTACCACAATCATCATCAGTTTGATTTGTTGATTCATACCTAAAAATATTTCTATTAAAAGATGACTACAATCACAACCATAGAAACGCCGTGAACAGCTTTCCTTTAACTGTATCTAGAAAAATATCGTAGTTTGAGGCTTAACATTTTGGAAAGCAGGTGTATTACACTTGTTCGTTGTTGTTTTGATTCATTAGAGAGTAGCCAAATTTATTAGCTAATTCATTATACAATGGAAAACACAAAATTGGGGTTTTTCTTATAAACATATTTTATAAAAATTTGTAAATATCGATCATCAGCTTTCATTAAAATTCAAATATTTCATAGTGATTGGCTCTAAAGCTAAACATTGTCTACGCCCATAATTAAATTGATGCCCCACTTACTCAAAATGATGTGCTTACAGATTGGATAATACTGAATTATTTAAACTCATTAGAACTTATGATGCCACAGTACACCAGGTTTCTTGAAGACGTGAATTTGTTTTGATGGACATTTATAAATATTACCGGTAATTACATTTATCCCAAAAGATCCTTGCGCTTCATTCAAAGATGCTAAAGAAGATGCTTTCATTGGCTATAGAAACTATTTGGTAATGCCCATTATCCATGATTCTTTGCAAGGATTCTTCAATAATTGGCAGACTTTCTGCCATGAACACAAAAGATAGATCCCATCAAATTTGTTTAAAACGCTTGAAATTACAGAAATTTAAAAGATTGCAAGTACAAGTAGTGCCATTATCGTTTTGCACAGAACGTTAAATCTCTAAAGTGTCAGATGAGAGTGTTGCTTCCTGGATGACTTCATGAATATTTATGTTGTTTTCTGATAGACCGAAAATTCAGCGCGGCAATCAAAGACGATCTGACGACTACCATTATCTTCACTGACTACAGGGGAGTTCTATAGAGTGGTATTGTGATTGATTGTTTTCAATCCCCATTTGAAATTTATAAACATTTATAAATATTTTATATAAAACAAATTTACGCCTTCATGAAATCAAGTGCACCATTTCTGGAATGAATTCTAACATCCAGTTTTACAGTAACTGCCAGGAGCGCCCTCTATTGGATCAAAGAAACATTGATTTCCGTCTATATATTAAAGTCAGTCAGGGAAATGTCAATTGTAATTTGTGAGATTTAGGAATTAATGGTCACTTCTATAAAATCATTAAATCCATGTACAATAACATAAACTACAAGGTAAAGATGTCAAATGGTTTAACAGGGGGTTTTCAGTCTACAAGTGGTGTGAAACAGGGTTGGAATATCTCACCCACCCTTTTTAACATATTCATCAATGATCTTCCAGGTCATTTTGGTAAAAGTGGTGATACACCAATAA